TGCGATTTAGGATCTATGGTTTGGGGTTTAAGGGTTCCCATGCGATTTAGGATCTATGGTTTGGGGTTTAAGGGTTCCAGCTTAACCTTCACCCCTGAATTGAAAATTTGAATATCCTAAACCCACACTTAAAACCCTATATCCTGACCAACAAAACCCGTTAAACCCCGGAACCTAAGCCCTAAACTCTATAAGTAAGTCCATATATATATATATCCCTTTATAACCCTTGTAATTCGTACAATTTCGGAAAGCCCCTAGACCCGCAATTTTGAGTCCAAACCCAACAACCTTCCTAGACCCTGCAAGTACCTTCTACGTATCTTCTACGGAGCCCGACTAGGTACGCCAGTAGTACAGTTTTCCATTTTTCTTACAAGGGTTTTGGGATGTTTTGGCTTTAGGTACCCCAGTAGGACCCTTTTTTGTTTTATATTTTTGGGTGTCCTTATGAAAGCTGAACATGGGAAAAAGGGTACCCTTATCATTGCAGTAAGGGTTTGCAGAGAAACCTAGTCAACTAGCCACAAATAGGACCTACATGGATGCTTTTGACGGTACTTGAGGGGTCCTGATGAGGCCCCTTAACCCTAATTCTTCCAGATCTTAAACCTGAATTTTGACCCGAAACCCTAAACCCTAAGCGCAGGTGGTGTGGAAGGAACTCCGAAAAGCGAAGCCACGGAAAGGTGCCACACAGTCTAGTGTTTGGGGAGTAGGGTCTGGGGTCTAGGTACTGGAGTTGTAGGGGTTAATTAGTTGATAAGTTCGAGGGCCTAGGAACTGCGGTTCAAGTTGTATGGCGCATAGGGTTTAGGGCTTCGCGTGCAGTAGTTGTCCTTCGGCACGCCATCCCAAACCCAATTCTTAAGCCCCAAATCCTAAAACCTAGTATCCCCCATACGTCTTTGGAATCCTTAGTAGGATTCCAAGGATGTATGGGGGTCTTAGATTTAGGGTTTAGGTCTTGGGTGATTTTGGGAGGTCCGCAGTAAGGATTCCATTGGGTTTATTTTGAGAAGCTCCCTTATGGAATTGCTGATATCGGATCGAGCTTCTGTTTGAGGTTCAAAGTTCTCACTGATGAGGGGTTGCAGGTTTCTGGCTTCGAGTCTAGAGTTAGGCGGTTCTTTCTTGGTTCCAGATCTCAGTGTCGAAGGTTAAGGTTTGGATCTCATATATAAGGAGCAGTATGTGTCATCCATGCGATTCCCCCGGCTAGATCAGAGCTGAGGTGGGATAGAGTCCAGGTAACGGGAGTTGTGTTGAGGGGAAGGGCGGGCTATGTACTGGCCCAAAGAAATCAGCATATTGGTTTGTGTGTTGTTACTAGTACAAGTTTGCAGGGGTAGATATTGAGGAACGCTCTAAATGTAGTGTCAAGGTGGGCATCGGGGCATAAAATCTCGGAATGACCACTGACGTGTTCCATTCATAGCCCTCAGTTGTACCATACACCCTAAACAACTCGAGTGTCCATATATGAAGAATACTTTGCACTTGCAATCTGATGACTTAGTCTGTAGTACATTCCTGGTGTATCAAAGGGAGCGCCAAGTTTAATAGAGACTGGTATGGGACCCGAAACGCTAAATTACAAAAGCCTACCATCCAAACTCAACATCCTGTACTCCAAACCCTGACTCCCAAACTCCAAAGCTCGAACCCAAAGCTGCAATCCCTCAAAGTCAAACCTAAGCAGTATAACCTGAGCTATACGCCTAAACTGCCGAGCACCAAGCCCTAAACTCAAAAGGCCCAGCTCCCCCAAAAAGACATCATACCTAAAAGATAGGAGGACCCCCCCCACCCCACCGTGCAACTGTGATATAATAGGGATAAGAGGACCCGGATATAATCACCCCTATCCCTTTTCATTATTGCTGAGCGCACCTAATCTAGAAGCTAGAAAAGCAAGGCAGGAAGGATTCTAGTGGGTTTGGGCTCTCTGTGTATATGTTTATATGATATGCATAGACCGCACACTCCAGAACCATAAAGCGCTTGACCCGAAAGCCCTAAGTCCTTATCTCCGAAAGCCCGAAGTCCTTATCTATTTTTGCATTTCATATATATATATATATATATGTGCACATATACATATGGATGTAGATACTTCAAGTCGGCTATCTATAAACCTGCGTCTATGTATGTCGACATGTATTAACATGTGAACACCCTAAACCCTAATCCCCAAGCCCTAGACCCTAAACCTTATACCCTACATAGCGCAGTGTAGTTGTTTCCATTTTCCATTATCCCTATATAAACCCTACATAACCCATTATAGTTTCCATCTTCTTTTCCATTATCCCTATATATACCCTATATAACCAACTATGTAGTTTCCATTTTCTTTCCCATTATCCTTATAATCCCTACACCCTAAACCCTAAACCCTAAACCCTAAACCCCCAGCCAGGTGCCGTGGGCGAGGCCGTGATGCTTGCGGCACACTGGGCCATGGTCTTTGCATTTGTGCCGTTGAGACCTGGCTCTCTCTCCCTCTCTCTCTCTCTCTCTTCAAGGGCTTTAGGATTTTAGGGTTTAGGTCTTTGAGGATTTTAGGGATTTAGGACTTAGGGTTTACGGGTTTCAGGGTTTCAGGGCTTTAGGATTTAGGGTTTAGGGCTTTCAGGATTTTAGGGTTTGGTGTTAAGGGATTTAGGTTTATGAGTCCAGGGTTTCACAGTTTTAGGATGTTGGATTTTAGATTTTAGGGTTTGGGCCCAAGTGCCCCCTTTCTGATCCCTGCACCCTCCTCAAAGGTATGGTGCGGATATGTGAGTCTCTCTCAAAGTTAGGTCACTCCCCCCTACAGCAATAGCCCTTGAATATGAGGTGAGTAGGGCCTCAATATACTTACAAGAGTCCCTCGTGGTACCGATTACTGGGTGGCGGATTGACCCAATCTGAACTTTTTTTTATAGCCGAAAGTCTTTGTTGACTCATATCTATTCCTCGGGTCTGCAAGCGTATTGTTATTGGGAGAGGTCCTAAACCCTAAGCCGTACGTCCAGCCATGACACAGATTAGATCATCAACTTTCAGTCAAAAAAAGCTGGATCTTCGGCAGGGATCCATGGAGATTAAGGGAGCATGAGGACATCAAATGGGTCTGTCCCCTTTGGGACTGTAACGAGAAATGCCCACAAAGACATTCATCCTCATCCGCACCTCCTTTTCTGACTCTCTCCAGAAAAGCCTTCGTTAGGGAAGCTAAGATTGCAACGCTGAGCCGTATGAGTGTTTTAGGTGAAATCACATGAGCAGCCAAGGAAGATCATCCCGATCTACATCCTACTTTCGGGCTTCATCACGGCATTGATCACCACGGCAACGCATCAGTCGGAAGAAATGTTCGAAGACTTTAATCCCGACTTCGTGGACAATCAATTCCGGACAACTCGGGATGCTGTGGTCGAGAATCCTTTCGAGAAATGGGTATCTTGCTTAAATGATGTAAGGTGAGTTGCGTCATCAACAGACCCCTGAAATCCGAAAGAACAGGCTACGCTAAAGCTAGCATGCAGACTCCTTGCTGTGGAGCCCAGGTTCTGGCCGCTCGATCACATCGGCTAAGGTCCCAGTAGCCAAGGGGCATTCTTGAATACATCTTTGTTTTCTTGCACCAACACCAAATGAGGAATGTAGAGTGTAGTGTTTAATCTTGCTGGGGAACAGCAGGGAATCAGGAAAATATTCCCTGGATAGTTTCTATGTAAGATATTCCCTTGTTCGCTACTAACCACAAGTAAGTAAAGTTATTCGAACGAGGAATCAAGGACCCAACGACAATTTCCAGTCATGCTGGAAATCTCGTACCGGACTTCAGCAGCATGCGAAATCCTATGGCATAGCTTTAGACTCGTATTCAGGGTTTAGGGCTTAGGGTCCTAGATTCCTTGTATGCTGAAAGTACAGCGATTGAACAATATCCCGTTTCGTTGAACTCCGAATCAGATTGTACAGGCTGGCGGACTTCAGCAAACATCCGCAGCCCCGCCACATTTACCACCATAACATACTTGGGGGGCAGTTTGATTGTTGGGGGGGTAGCTGGGGGGATTATTATCAGGGTGGATTGATGCCTTCGACTCATCTTAAACCTCAAGCCCTGACAAAAAGACAAGATAAAAAGACAAGATTAAGTGAGCTTTAGGGTGGGAAAAGGAAAAGTGGTCACACGTGACCACAGTTGTGTCTAAACCAGGAAGCCACAAACCTGAATAATATGGTCTAGATTTCAGGTTTAGGGCTTGGGGTTTAGGGTCAGAACTGCCACACGAAGCACCCGACATTTGTTTAAATCTAACTCCCCCCATCACTACTGTAAGCAGGCTCTATTGACTCAATTTTACGAAGTAAACTTACCAAGTCAAGAGGTCCTCCAAGTAAGGACTGATCCTAACCCCACCCTAAATCCCAAACTCCGAATCGCGTGTGGGGGGCTCATTCATTTGGGGATAATGTCCTTTATTTATAGACCCTAAACCCTAAAACTTGAACACTGCCCTAAATCCTAGACCCTAAACCCTAAGCCCCAAACAGGCTCACCGCGACCTGAGGGCCCAATATCCTTTAATCAAAGAATATTTGGGGTTTGAGGCGTAGGGTTTCAGAATATACACTAAATACTTCTAGGACCCTGGGGTTTAGGGAGCCTGTGTGGTTGTAATGGGGTGTATATGGGGAGCCCCCCTAAACCCTAAACCCTAAACCCATTCTGGGAAACTCCGATATGATCCTGAACAGTAGTCCACAAGTTGCCATGAGATCCCCCTCAAAACCCTAAACCCTAAACCCTACCACGCGGTTTAGGGTTTAGGGTTTAGGGTACTTTGAAAACTTGGGACGGGAAACCCTGAAGCTAAACCCCAACAAATTTGGAGCTATGGGCCCCTAGTATGACCCTAAACCCCTGGGGGCCCTTAATGTGGGGGTCCTTAGAAACCTATTATTACCTTTTACCTCTGCATTCTGCAACAACCTTAGTCCCCATCCCAGTTACGGCCCCAACCTCCCACATCCGCTGAAGTATCCCAAACGCGGTTTAGGGTTCATGGTTTAGGGTTCAGGGTGTAGGGTTTAGGGCTGGAACTCTATATGTAATGATCCCTGCTTTACAATGGGGTCATTGTGGGGGGTGGACGTCCATTTTTCCGATCCTAGGGCCCCAGCCAACCCCCCATGAGCCGAGGTATGGGGAGGCATGCAGTACCAGCTCGAGCCTAGGGATGTCAGCGGGAAATTGTAGGGTTTAGGGTTTAGATTTTTAGGGGTATAGTGGTTTAGGGGTACAGGGGTTCAGGGTTTGGGGGTTTAGGGGTTTAGGGGATGTTTGTGTATCTTCATTTCATGTTTCTACTAGAGTGGTAGGGACCGCACAAGCAGTTTTTTTTTGCCGGGTGGCGGGGGGGAGGGGGGGGGCAGGGTTCTAGTGGCAAATAGAGATCATTGAGGTTTTCGGGTTTAGGGTGATAAGTCAGCTGTATCAGAATCATCCCAGTAGAATCCTTAATTAGAATCGCCTCATACGCCCCTTTGCATTTGTTGGGTTCCTAGGGCACCGGAGACATTTCCATATTGGAGGACTAAACCCAAAACCCTAAGCCTCAGACCCTAGACTTAAAGCCTAAGCGAACTGCAGTTACAGCAGGAGTAATAGGCATCGTAAACATATTTGAAGACTCCAGAGCATTTTCAGAAGGCTCAAGATGTTTAGGGTTTATAGGTTTTTAGGGTGCTTGGCAGATTAATTCAGGAGCACCACCTCTTCCCGTCCATGCCGCGCTCACGCTATCCGGCCCTCCAGCCGATCTTGAAGAAGTTCGCAGAAGCGACACCTGACCTCCTCATAAGTCACTTTTTCCCTAAACTCTAAACAATCCAAAGTTAGAAGTATGAGCCCCTAATATGAGCCCTTAGGTCTTGAAGGGAGATTCTAGGGACCCTAAGGGATACCTTCAGGGAAAATAGCAGGTGTATAAGGACCCCAGGGTTAAGCACTAGGGCCCATGGTTTCAACCTGAGCAACAGTGGGGTTACCCCAAACCCTAAAGGGTTACACCGAAAGAAAAGGGCACTTTAAGGGTTTTAGGCCTAGGTTGCTGGGGGGGTCTAGGGTCTAGGGTCTCCCTGGTCTCGGCTCTTTGTTCAGTGGCGGTGATAGGTGTTCTTAGGTAGGATAGAAGCGTACCCCAGTAACCCCATAACAACAAAGACATCCTGTTTCCTAATATATACTCAGCTTTAATAAGTCAGGGGCTAAGGGGTTGGGGTTTCAGGTGTTGATGGTTCAGGGATTTGGTCTTAGCTTTGTTGTTGTTGTTGTTGTTGTTGGTGGTGGTGGTGGTGGTGGTGGTGGTGGTGGTTGTGGTGGTGATTGTGATGGTGATTGT